ACGACGGAAGAGTTAGAACAGTGGTTGTTCGTACGAACGGTGGATTAGTCAGGAGAGATATACGTAGATTATGCCTCCTTGAAGGCTCGAATTAGTTCCTCGTGTTATCAATGTAGGTAGGTCGAGTAGGCGTACTGTTGTAAGTCCTACTCGTTCCTATAGTGCGATATGCTACATAATGAACCATGACCATAGGCATCAAGGTAGCTTGTGTGATATGGAGGGATTTTGGGGGCCGGTGTAAGATCCATTTTGAATGCCTTGTGTGTTTGTGAAAATCCCTCCATGTATATACTTGCACTTTGTTCCTATTGATTCTTTTAGTTGTAGATTGTTAACTTTTGGACTACATTTGAATTGTTAATATTTGTATTTTATTATAGTTTTCGTTTTTACTACACCTTCACTAATTCCCCATGTTTCTTCCCGAACTGCACTTATGTTGTTTTACTTTATACTAAGTCTGGGCGGCAGCCATTTTGGTTTATCCTTGCTTTGGATTGCTTGACCTGTGTTGACTGGAATTGTGCATTTTGGTTGTGAATTGAAGCACTCTTCCAGAATTGAAAACACTCTGTGTTATAGAGCGACCAATTATTACCTTTTGAACGAATCTGTACGTGATCTATCCAGACAGGATAGAATAACATTTATTTGTGGTGATTGTTTAGATTTGATCAATTAAACAATTATTGGTTGGATAGCTGTGTGGTTATATTTGTTTAGGTAATAATGTATACTTAAATTTATGATAAATTATAGAACCGCTATCTTACCCAATTACCTTGTTTTGGTTTCAAACGGGCGAGGGCGCGTATCGAACTTATCCAAGCAGCTGTCCAGCAGTCCAAACGTGGTTTGGATCCTACAGTTTGCTCTTCTTCTTCTTCTGAAGCATTTATCATTGGTCACCCTGCAATAGAAAGGAAAACAGAATCTATTAACAACACCATACATGATGATTTTAACCCCGTTACAACGAGCCCGGTTATAAGATGCGGTCATCATATATTCAGGGTCATAAATTGGATCAGCCTTCAGTAATAAGAATAGGAGTTCTATCGAACTATACTTTTCCTTGTAGTTTGTACCACTGTGGAATTTCGATCTCGTTTTGAGTATATCAACAGAAGATGCTGATATTACGTGTTTCGGTAGAGGATTCCAGTAATTCACTACTCTGTGCGAGAAACGAACCTTCAGACGTAAACGATTTGATCTCGATTTTTGAATTTTCTTCGAATATCCTCTCAAGTGATCAATCCTAGACGGAAGGGAATAATAAGATATGTTAATACCAAGGCGATTATTCAGTGTAATGTAAACTAATATGAGATCATCCTGTATTCTAGGGCAAGATAACGGAAGTAGGTTGAGATGTCTCAGTCTGTCTTTTTAAGATAGGCCAGATAGACATTGTACCATTTTCGTCCCTCGTCGTTGGACTCGTTCTAGCATATCCGCCTCATACTTGGAACAAGGACTCGGTGCTTGAATTACATATTCCAAATGCAGTCTTACGAAATTCAGGTATACTGTTTTAAATATTTCCCTGCTCAAACACCGAAAAGATCTACGAATAGCCCATAATACCCAGTATCATTTTGCACCAGCAGCCTAACAGTTACTCGTAGTTTTGAGATCGCTGCTCATTATGACTCCTAAATCTTTATAGTTTCTTACTTTGGGTAGCACTAATCCACATATTGTGTAGCGATACGAGTTATCATGGTTAATTAATTGCATCACCACACTCTTTTTAGGATTTACTTTTAGTGACCAGCTGTTCATCCATGCCACCACTGACCTAAGATCGTCCTGTAATTCTATTCTTTCTGACATACTGTGTATGGTTCTCCGAATCTTTATGTCATCGGCGAAGAGTAAAACGGATGATTTTGCTGCAGTTGGTAACCCATTTACATAAAGTAAGAAGAGAAGAGGACCGAAGATTGTGCCTTGAGGAACTCCATTTTTACAGTTTCCTACGAGGAGAGAGCTTCATTTATCCTTACCCTTTGCCTCCTGTCATGAAAAAGTTACTTATCTAATTTGCGACTGTATAATGGAATCCAAAACTTTCAAGTTTGAATGTAACACCAGATTGGGAGACCTTACTGAAGGCTTTAATTAGATCTAAAAAGACACATCTACAGGAACATTGCAGTCTATTCTTGTATCAGAAGTGGTAGAATTCCATCGCTTCTCTGAGTTCGCCTTTTTATATACGAGAATAAGCGTTTCGGGCCATAATTACAATCCCTAATTAATTGTTTTTGATACGGTCGTCTAGTGTTACTTATTAACGTTCAACCGAACAATTATCAATTATATTTGTGTATTTCTTTCTTGTACTTCATTATTTTATGCAGGCAGTGGAACGGTTTCTCAGGTCTGATTTGATCTTTTTAAATTTTTACTTGAGAGTGACTTAAGAGGTAGATGAGTAAACACCTGATAGTGGGACGGAGTATGGAAATATCGTACCCCACCAACATGATGTCTTGTAGCCAGCTCGTGGCACTTACTAGGATATTCTTGTTTCATTTCCTCACCCTCTTTTCTCTTACAAGCTCTGATCACCATGCAGAGGGCACGTAACAAACCACCAGCGGTAGTTGTCAAAGAAATTAAATGCTGCAAGATAAGATAACAAGCCAGTAAATGACGACATCTAAGGGCTATCGTGGATCGCCGACGAAGTTGGTCGGTATTGACTGAGAGTCAAACAATGAACGAGTTGGTATTTCTCCTTTGGGCTGCGGAAAAAGAATGTAGGTGTTCTTGATAGATAGGTTGATCTAACCGACGTTCCTACAGAAGTCGATTCTAGGAGGAAGATAATGTAACATCCTAGGTTGATTGGTTAAGAGTTGACTTCAGACAACTAAGTATTTGTCAAAACAATAGAGATCTAGTATTCATTCACATCTTTACTTTATGTAGGCACTACAGTTCCTGATATTGTATATTGAATATTGAGAAGCTTTGTGTGTTTGAACAGGTAACTCCCCGCATCACAGTGATTATCTTGAGATCTAAATAAAGACCTGTTCACTAATAGTCTGGTTACTTTTATCAACAGAACGAGGGTTACGTATAGGCACGGAAGGACTACCTAGTTTATCAAACCTCATGTGAATGTCACATCATCGCCTATACTGACTCGTCCAGAGGGAATCAGTGGTTGCGGCCAAAGATCACGGATTGGGGACATGGTAATATGAAAAGGAATGGGTTACGTAGGGTGATTACACTCCATGCTTGTGTCATGTCAAACCGATAAAGTTCTCCCGCGTTCACCATTTTTCTGACTTTCTCTAAGTTCCAAATCTTGAATGTAAATCTTTTCAGTTATCGTATGTTCACCATCAAGGTGGTTGAAAATAAACACCAATACATACATTTGAATCACCATTCCAAATAGCTCATAATGACATGAACATATTCTTAACAGATACCTATATGCACTGATCTAAGTAACATTTATCAGCAGTCACTTTATGGGTAGCAAAAGCTCCAACGCTCAAAGCTGTAACTTTGGGTATGGCAAAGTATCTCGCGGTGTCATATTAAAATTCCGTAACTGATAATCAGGGTTATATAACAAAGACCTGGTCGGAAAAGACTTAGTAATATAAAACCATGATTACACGAGTCCCTAATAAAATTTAAAATATAAATCATAGGTAGTGATCAACAAAATAACACTCTTGAACAAAGACATATTGCGCAGAAATTTTTAGTATTCTCTTTGTTGCACAGCGTTAAACTGAAGTTGATATTGACACCCAGGCATCCGACATTAAATCTTGTATATGACTGTCAGTTGTTTCTGCTCCACACATTACATGACTGTATTTTCATACATGACAGCGAACAAACGTACACTTACCAGTTACATTTTGGCGAACTCAAAACGAGAAAAAGCTACGAGTTACAAAATAATACGTAGGTGGGTTCTTACGATAGCTTTATTGTTTTCTTTAACGTTTTAAGTATCCTAAACTGCCTCGGAAATACACAATACTTAAATACAACCTGTTCCATGTATTCTTTTCAACCAACAATGCTGCTCCATACATACCGTGTAGAGCAACCATAGTGTCGTATGTTATGCATAAATTTGTGCAATGGCATGAAATTAAGAATTACAACATTTTTAATCTAAACAACTAGTTTGACCATTTATTCGAGAGGATAAATAACATACCACACTATACCTTTGCTGATGATTAAAATATATATTCCAGCTCAAACATCTTCGAATTTTTTTAACTTTCCTGGTATTGCGCTAAAAAGTGCTCGGACACTAGTGTTATTGAATTCTCCCGTACTTAAGTTCATACCTGGTAACTGTAGAAAGTAAAAACCATTTAGCAAAAATAGAAAACATTAGTAGGCCAAGGTGGCTAGGGGACTTACGGAATGATATACTAAGTTGTTTATATAAATCTACCGACAGATCCTCTGAATGCACTGGTCTCCTCTTCAACACCGGAGCTGAAATGCAGCCTCTCTAACGCCCAAACCTTATGTGTCTCAGATTTTGCAACCTATTGGACCGGTTATCAATGGCAAAAATATAATAGAACTTCTAGGGGGTGATACATGGAGAAGCTGATATCAAAATGTTGACATAAACCACACACTAGAGAATCATCCTTCAACACCTAACACTATTAGTAACGCACAGCGTCATCTTTTACAAGCTACATTTTGGAAGTAGGATTTTGTTAATCGTTAATTCTTTCCGTAATAAATTTAATTGTGCTGTATAAGCTTGTTTGATTGTCTTTTTTGTTCTCTATTCCAACCCTTCTTACACCACCGTGAATCTTCCTATAACGCATCAAGCACCTTCTGGTTAGACTCCAACGGTGACAAATAAACAAATCATTCCATATTTGGAGGTAAATAATTTATAGACAGATTTAGATAGTGAAGAACCACCAGAGCATCGTAGTCACTCAACAAATTGGATCATTTAATGTTGAGAAGTCTTTTAATATTGGACGTTACGCGGTAACAATAGTGTGTGGGTGCTACATAGATATTTTGATATTACTGTTCAGTCGTGGATAAAAATAACTTGATCTAACTCGATATTCTATAAATTTTAGCTAGTTAACGTAGAAGCCTTTTTGCTGTTTCTGGTAAGTTACACGTTCTTGTTGAATTAAACTTCAATTGAGGTTTAATTCAACAAGAACGTGTGAGTCCTTTAGGATCTATTCACTCAAGCTGAGATACAAAATCTCTACAATAATTTATTTGGCGACCATAGTATTTAATTAACAAGTTGTTAGAGTCGATCTAGTCAGCGACTTAAGTTGTTGTACTCCCAAATATGTTTAATTAAAAGATTGTACAGATCCGAATCTTAAAAAAACGTTTCATTTGATTCCAGGTAAATTATTCACTTAACTTACGTATATATGTTCGCAGTTATCAGTTTATCTTACATTTTTCACATTTTGCAAAAGAAACTTGAATTATGTTGTCCTGAGAAGTCTACATAGTACAAATAATATGATATTGAATAAAGCCACTAATAATATGTGTATTCAACGTAAAACTCTCCTTTAGTTTTGTCTTTGCTCATTCTGTTACGTAGCAGAATCCATACACCGGCAAAGCAATCATCACACCGCTGAATGTTGTTCGATGTTACTGAAACAGTGGAAGCCTAGGTTTCGGAAGGATATCATTAATTTGGCCTCGAAAACAACTTGTTAAATATCTATCGTCCGATCAGTCTTGTTAGTATGGTGGTTAAATTAGTGGAAACGGTTTGTGCTTCTCCCTCAGTTCACTTGTAAGGAGATATTTTCAGGAAAGGACATGGTTTTCGCGAGGTTAACCCATGGAAATTGAAAAAGATGTAAATATAAAATATTTATGTAGGTGTAGTCTTTATAGATCTCAGCAAAGACTTTGTCTGTGATGTGGGTTTCAGAGGGAAACGGGAAGGCTTCACAATCAATTGTATAGTTAGGAGCCAGAATAAGGACTTTTTAGCGATAGGAAGCAGCATGTAAGGGCAAATGGTATCTCGCTATAGAAATATGTAAATAATTAAATTCTCAGGGGATAACACTAGAATTGGGTCAGCAACAAGCCACAGATTGTCATTGGTATGACATGTCATTTGGGGCTCCCATAATTCAGAGATGAATGTCATCATGATCCCTGAACTCAACTCGTTTGAGACGTAGTAGTTATAAGTTAGAAACAACGAGTGGTGGCTTATTGGTCAGAATACTGGACTAGCTAGGCTCCGTCTAATCGTCTGGGTATCCTGTTACCATCGTCAGCCTATCGTGTAAAAAAGTAAGTCAAGCTGAGTACAAAAATCTGTACTTGGAATATAAGTAAATCATTATATTTTTGTGTTAGGACTCAAAAGAAGTTACAGTTGATTATCAAATCCATATAACTTGTTTCTAGATACTAATCCAGTGTAGGTACACCATATAGTACACCTTAGTTTGAATTCGATCTGTACTCATGATTCACGTTCTTTCAATCATTTTCACCATTGTATCAGCTGAATCTGCTAACCGACGCTTGCTTATATAGCATATTTTCATAACTAGGTACTTATTTTACGGAAAACGTAAATATTTACTATCTAACAAATGTTATTGCTTAAATGTCTTAATGAATATACTTCAGATTATCATGAATTCACAATCTCTTGAAGACAACGACATTTTACATGATTCGTCATATGCGAATTGTGACATCAAAAAACGTCAACGTTCTGATAAGATTTCAAATCTTATGGGTCAGTATCTTTTGAAAGGATGGAGAATGTTAAACGAATCTTGTCCTAAATGTGAGGTTAGTTGTATCATGTTATCAAATTTTGTGTTTTTCAGACCATTCTTTTCCAACAGCCAAATGGTCAGTATTATTGCGTAGCTTGCTTAGAAGTTGATCAGGAAAAATCCAATTCTATTAAAGAACCATTGTTAGGTAACCAACACTTACTGAACAAATCACAAAATTTCTCGACAGCATCGTCACCATTTCGTAGTGATGTTGACACTGGGTATGTATATTTATTGTCATAAAACAGTTATGACTTAACTCCAGTTTGATGATTGATTAAAATAGCTTTGATTATGCTCCATGAATACACATAGATTTTTTTTCATGACTGCTCGACTAAAACTGTTACCTAGCTACTTGAACTTAAGTCAGTGGAGCAGGTTTTGAACTTTTCACTCCAATGGTTGTAAGTCAGGTGTTTAAGCCGGCGAACCATAGCATCATCCTGCAATTAATGATCAACATAATATGGAGTTCTTGTTATACGGTGATAACTAGCTTGGAGTTAACGACATGAATTAATATATGAACATCAGTTGAGCGACTTTACCAAGCGTTTAATCAAATGGTGAAAGCAGTATGTTTATCTTTTACCGATATTAATTATTTCCAATTTATATTGTTTGGGATTTGAACTTGGTACAAATTTTATATAGTTGCCTATCAAGATTCTAATCAACTGGTGTTGTCAGCATCCTTATTTACGGCCATTTTATTTTTCTGAAGTGATTGTTTATAAATCTCTATTTTGAAGCACGATGCCGTAGATGTTCTGACGTCACGAAACACAAAAATTGTTGGTCACAGTAAGTTCAACATTTTTATCATGGGTATACCCTTGATCAGTCCATCCCCAACGTAAACAGGAATTGTCTAACTACTTGCTAGTCAACTTGCCACACTTCCAATACCTGTATCATATAACTTCATCACGGATTGATAAGACAATGTAACACTGTTTTAAGCAAGTAGGTGACCTACTCTGCATAATATTTAGCTCTATCTGTTAATTAAACCGGCAGTGATAGCCGTCTATTACAGTAGTTCTCTTAGAACCAACAATTATGAGCAGTGGTTTATGATCTGAAAGTATGACCACAGGGCTTCTTTTAACAGCAAACATCATTGAATTGCTTGAAGTTCGATTATCCTGTAGTTTCACTCAAGTGGGGTGGATGATTTCGCAGTCATCTATTATGACTTATATTCGTCTTGGAACAATGGCTTGGAAATTTATAGGCATTTAATCCTTAACCAGTGAATTGTGGGATTACACTTGATGTTCTTCAGTGTTGACAATTTAGTAATATCATTTCTTACAGTTAATGTTATTCGAGCTTGTTAGCAAGAACTGTCATCACTCAACCATATTCGTTCTATTTATCAGTGTAGTTGTATGCCCCGTAATACACCTCATAGCCTGTTTTACAAGACTTCCAAGCTATGTTGTAAGACAGAGTGTATAAGCGTGTTTGTACAAACTACGTATTGCTAAAGTGTTTAATTAAAGCAACAATATTTTTTGATATAATACTTTTCTACAATCTTTGTGTATCTCTGTAGTTTACCAAAGAAATCCACTGATGCTCAGATGAAACCGCTTTCCGATAATAAAAAAACTTCAACAAATGCATGCAGTGAAATTAGTATACTGACAGAACTACGTGAAAAAATCCATTGGTCTATGTCTCAATTGGTGGAGACTACTACACCTATGGAAATCCGGCAATGGGTGGATACACTCAAGTCTTTATTAGATCTATGGGATAAATTGTTAAAATCTAATTTTGTCAAGTGCTAATATCAAGAAAGCCATATCATAAATGCAAGCCGATACTAAATGTATTTTTGTGAATACAGTTTTACTAAAATTTAACAAGATTATGTTTTCTTCCGTATTTTGTTATTGTAATTTTTACTTTGCAAATTTTGTGCGATTTCTGACTGATATAGTTTCATAGAACACTAATCCGCATTTTTATACTACTCTGATGTGATCAATAATGCATATGTGACCTTGAAGAGAACTTATATTTAGGAAAAATTTCATTCATCAATAAGCTTGATTAGTGTAGATCTTACCGTTCTGTTCAACAAATATTTACTTCGAGATTTTAGAACGAAAAAACTCATAGAAATACCTTATAATGATGTATTCGTTCTTGTGAGTCTCACTTGTTAATAATGCAACCGAAAAATCTATCAGTTAGTGATAATCTATAAGATAGTATATATTTGTATTTAGACAGTTTTATCGACTACAGGACTTTCAAAAATATTTTGGTTTTCGTCTTCAGAATGTCCGTGAAGGTGGTTATTGCTGTGCTTCATGATTCTATCTAACTATTGTTCAAATGGCTAGAGTAAACTTTATCATCTTGAATCTTAAACACCGAACAACAGTTGGTCAGTCTTCATGCTATTTTACTATGATAATAATGTTGGCTGAATTAATCCTCAATTTCGGATGATCAAATCAAGTATCATTTTGTTTTTTTCAAAGCAGCCCGGCTAGTCAATCGCTCAAACAGACTTATTTTTATGTGTATGATGCAATGCCCTGGTACGGCCGAGAGTGGGAAGTCATTTCTCTCCCTCGAAATGCTCTCGCATGGGCACGTGCATACCACCACTGTCAGGGAAGTCCTACTCACTGCCTCCTCACGGCGGGGGTGTTGTTTACGAAATTGAGAGGAGGAAGAGCGACTGTCCAGTGCTTTAACTGAGTTGTTGGGTATGGAGGACCCACCTAGGGGAGTTGGAAAACCTTGATCCCAAACCAGTGGTGTGCATAGGCTCCAGTACCCTGAGAGGACAAATGGTGTATGAACCTGTTGTTGGTCACCGGCTACCACGGGACTGCATCTCCTGACTTTGTTCCACTGCCTTGTGGACCAAACCTTTAGGTCAAAGGCCCCGCGTGTGGCTCCCTAAGGAAACCACCTGTTTCGGTTTGGGCACCCGGGCAGTATCCCAGCCCTCAAGTGATTTATGTGGCGCATATATTTTTGGTGCCTCCTTATATCAATGTTTATGTGTTTAAATAAATAAATAAAATAAATTTTATGTTTATTAAGTGCGTTCAGTTTTAGATTGTTTGCTCATCAAAATTCTTTTCTTTTTAGTACCATGTTTACAAGAGTATTCTTGCTTCTCTCCGCCGTTGTCATTGTTGAGATGAAGTGGAATCATCGATGCATCACAAACTGAAACCTGTCGATTTAATATTCATGTTATTTGGCGATCGAATCTTGTGTGGTAGGGACCGTAGTTAACAGTATGGATATTTATTTATTTAAACACATAAATATTGGTACAAGGGAACACCAGAATGTGAGGAAAAAAAGAAGGTAAGGTGCGCATAAGAAAAAAAAGAAGAATAATAACCACAGATTAGTGTATGGTAGTGTAATAATATTAATAATGGGGGGAACGGAAAGGTACAATCAGAAAGAATTCTTTCAGTTAAGGGAGTTACAACCACTTGTTATGAAGAAAGTAAGAGGTTATAGCAGGATCGCCACTGGCTTCTATTCTGAGCCATATCTGATAACGTCTCTAACCACTGTGTTGCACCATCTCTCGGACCCCAGCCAGGGAGTCGTGAAAGACCAACAGAAGCAAGTCCCGTGCAGCTTTCTTTCATACCCCGACACCATATCATACACTGACCACCTCTCCGCTTTTACCAACCAGTCCCAGCGTCGGCAAATAGTCCACGACGTGGAATTCTCTGGGACAACACTCATAGAACATGTCCAAGCCACCGAAGTCGGTGTTTCAAGATGGTGACACCAATTGAATTATCATCTCTGTGCCCGAACACACGATGCCGAACTTCTGCATTACTGACATGGTGTTGCTATGGGATATCAGCAATCCTTCGGAGACAACGATGATCAAAGGCAGAGAGTCGTCTAACATCCTCAACTCGGAAACCAGTTTTCACAAACATAAAGCAGAACTACTCTCACCGACGCGTTGTAGATCCGACCTTTTACAGCCAGACTGACACCACAAAGGCGCCAAAAGTGGCCCAGATTGGCATAAGCCGCTTTGGTTTTCATTATACATGCATTGATCTCACCACTCACACCACCCCAGCACTTATGCAGCTACCCAGATACACGAACTTCTCGACTACGTCTATCTGCTCACCATCCAGGGTGAGTACAGGGTTAGAATCCTGCCAGTCTTGTGGAAGTACTCTGCACTTCGAAGGTGCAAAGCACATACCATATCTACGGACACTGATTAAGTGCGGATTGCATGCCTTGGGCATTATCGCACAGTAAGACAATGTCATCCGCATACTCAAGGTCGAGAAGTCTTTCTCCAGGCAACAGATCCACACCGCCATTAATTACATCCATCAGAGCTGTTTCCAGAATGTCATCGATGGCAAAGTTGAAGAGGAATGGTGAGATTGTGCAACCCTGCCTAACCCCACTGCTCGAATGGAACAATGGAGAGAGTTGGTTGTATGCCCTCACTCTGCCTGAGGTGTTTTTATATAGGGCTTTCAGGATGTTAATAAACTTCTCAGGCACACCCTTCTTCAATAGACAATCCCAGAGGACAGTCCTATCCAACGAATCGAAGGCAGCCCTGATGTCAAGAAACATTACGATTGTTGGACTTTGATAAGTATGACGGTGTTCTAACATTTGGCGGAGGGTGAAGATATGATCAATACATCTTCGACCAGAACGAAACCCAGCCTGCTCCTCGCGAGTCAGTCTTTCTCGGGTTTTAAACAACCTAAGAAGTATGGCAGAAGCAAATAGTTTGGACGCAATCGGAAGTAAACTTTCCTCCCGATACTTGTTACAGGAACGACGTGAACCCTTTTTAAAGATAGGGACAACTATCGACTCATTCCATGACGTTGGAACACTCTCTAGCTTCCAGACCTTTGTAAACAACACAGTTAGTTCCTTAGTCAAAAAGTCACTACCATCTTTAAGAAGAGCCGGAGGTAAGTCATCTAGGCCCGGTTGGAGTTCCTTGCGGACTTCCGCCTCATTTGGTGGATCAGTCGTCACAGACCATGGAGGGCAGGACAGTCCAACCGATGTTGCCGGAGCAGCAGGCCAGTCGACACCAACGCCAGCAAGATCAGACGAAGATGCCACAAGGTCCCCGGATAAACGCACGTAAAGCAAATCTTTTGAAGCGATTGATGGAGAGCGAATTTGTAGTACTTCACCAGTCTTGAATACGGGCCTCGGATAGACAACAGACGTCTATATTAAGACTTTCTAAAGTTATAGACGGCTCTATCTGTTGTCCGATCTGCATTAGTGTGCGAACGTTGAAGAAAGCCTGTTTGAATGGTGCACGTGGTTTCAGCAATCAATTTTCAACCAGGCAATGACTCGAGATCGTTTAGATAGAACAGTTTTCACCATAGGCGAGCTGCTGTATAAGTTGAAAAAAAGATACACGAAGTGGGAGTAAAAGAGAGGTAGTAAGTGACGTAATAAGTAATAATAATAATATGAATTGTTTGATTTTCAATCGAAGCGTGAATAGTATTATCAGTGAATATCGTCATTTTATTTTATGGATACATTTTACTTTATTCTATAAATAGGGTGCTTTGTTTAGGATGATCCGTTGACTTTATTGGTTCGTAGAGTATGCTGATCTCTAGTAGTATGAACAGTCAGCTGCTTCTTAAACATACATGATATGCATCAGTACATTCCTTTTGTAGGGCAACTTACTGTTGCTTATATTTATGTACACAAAGAAAGGTTCTTAACTCATACTGCACCGAAACTATACGATAGTTTTTGAAGTTTGTCACTCCTATTCCGGTACATTTTAAAACATCATAAATATAAAGAGGTGACGTCTGCTTAAGCTATCTGTATTTATGTATACCGTATATTAGTTACTGTAACAAATTACTATAAAATTTGTAATGACTGTTTGTAAAGCTTCGTAAAAGAATAACTAAAAACAAGTGTCACATAAATTCCTAGTTAACCACGAAGAGTCAATGTATTTTATTTGATAGCATACTTAATTTATTGGTATTAGTGTTTTGGTCTTATTCGCATCGTTAATTTCGTCATGTGGTCAGTAGATCATGCAAGCTCCCACATTTATAAACCTACAGTCAACATCAGAGATTAAGATGAGTAATCCTAATTATTTTTTAATATGTTCAAACTTAGGACTCACTTGATAATATGACTAAAATACAATACGTGCACAACCACAAATAATAAGTTTTCAGCACATAACTGTGACATTTTTAAGAACAAAGTAAGACAACTGTCATTTATGAATCGCAGAAAATCTCGGGACAATTAGTGTCACAATACAACTGTTCTTAGCAGGTAGTCATTTTAAGAACCATACAAACTCAACGAAGATTAGATACCCAAGTTTCACATTGATCTCTTATTGTCCCTCATCAACGCAATGATGTAATTCTGAATAGATATCAAATACAATCATTCAGACAAAATAAGCTCACTGATAACATAGGACTAACTGCAAGATTGCTCTGAATTATTTTACATATGATCCTAGTGGAAGTTTTATGCATAAGTCTAGCATTACTCAGCTATATTCGCACATTTGGAATCCTGATAACTAAGTACCAGTAACTCATAATTTTTTCGACCAACAGAACATTCGTTGCTCGATAAAAAATTAGATTCAATGCAATTAGTTGGATGTCCCTGGGAATGAAATTAAACTTGTTTTCATATCGATTTCATCCTGGGGGATACGTAAGATGAGGTCACGGCAAGCCTACAGTTACAAGTGATGTAATGTTGAGATGTTAATTAAAGCAAATTTGCTTCATGGATCTAACGTTTATGTGAAACGGGATAATAATTAGAATTACGTGTAAATTTTAGTCATAATTGGTAAACAGTACAATATCTCACTAATTTAGAGTCTAGAATCTCGATAACTAGGTGATGTGATTAGCTAAATAAGCAGATAACGGACTCATGACTAGCTGGTTCACGTTCCACGCTTTCCTTCCCTGTCCACTAAATTTATCACAATACCGGGACACCTGTATATTTTTACTACAATCATTGTACAAAAATGTGTCGAAGAACAAAAACATTGGCCACAGAACTATGAAAATGTTGCGAAAATATTAATATATACAAAAAAGTAATCCACGAAGAATTGTGATTGCTAGTGGTGATAGCGTGGATAAGAAGTTCCCGGATGCCCCATATGACCAGGTGGGAGATTTCTCATTGGTTGTTGTTGTTGCTGAAATAGAAAAACAGCCCTAAGTGATATAGAATAACACATGTACAGGCTTTATGAAAATGTTCAGGGACACAGTTCTCCGAGATCAATATAAAGGAATTGCTGGAGAACTTAGCTTTAAGCTATTTATACTATGGATCAACAAACAATGAACAACACATTGATGATTAGATAAATAAACCTCATGTATTTGATAATATTGTCTCTGTACAATTGTATGTGCTGTGAAAAAAACTGGGTCAGTGATATCGACTTAGTAAACTTTAATATAAGAAATTTTAAACACGAGACTGAATATCCATCAATTGAGATAGGAATGTCATGTAGCACCTACAAATGAGTGCATTCTCTGAAATTTGTTTTGCAAAATAATATCCCGTGCTCGGGCATTGCAAATAGGTGTAGGATTTCTGATAAAGACCTTCGATAGATTCATGATATGACTAACAGTCGATCGCAAAAGCCTAGATTTATTTACATAGAAAGTATACATATATTTAAATAGTTAGATAAGAAAACATTAAAAACAAACATATAACAACGAACAACCACAAATTACCAGATTCGCATAACCTGAAGTGGTAGTAGTAGTAGTGGTATTAGATAACTGCTGAGATTGTCCTGTTATACTGGGTTTATTTGTGTTTGCATGTAAGATTCCACTACTATTAACTGTTGTAGATGATGATGTTGTCGAGGAGGATGGTAATGGCGGTGGTGCAATCGGTGTTTCATTATTCCCCTGGGATAACCGAATACGCTTGTTAGATGGTATATCATCATTATTATTCTACAAGGGAATATACATTTATAGTGAAAACAAGTTTATTGAATTCATATATATATGCACAAAATAACTTAGGCTAATTAACTATATTTCATGATGTATATGAAGTTGAACGATAGATTAGTATCAGAATAGCGGTTGTGAAGATTATTAAGTATTTGGTTGAGATCATGAATCGATTGATGTTAGACCACCGTTGGAAACCTGGAAGCAATGGACGGCCGTTTCGTCCTGTTACGGGACTCCTCAGCAGTGCGCATCCACGATCCCGCATTATGCTTTCAACCAAATGACTTGAAATTTAAATCTTAGTTTAACTTTTTCGATATAGCTGTAACTGAGTAGTATAGTACGACTATTACCCAATCCAACTGATTGTAACTGTTTTGCTTTCGATATGGTTGAAATTTACCAAACGTAAATACTTATTGGGACATTGAAGCTGGTCACGAATTAGCACACAATCACAGTTTAATTGAATAGTTCGTGGTTTCTAAATCTGAGGCTTAAAAGTATCGCGAACGCCAAGAGGTCTGAAAGTTTAGGGTTCGATCCCGTGAAGCGTCGTAAGTGTGTAAAGCCAGGGAGTCTCATATTGCAGAGCGTGCTACTTATACGAACAGATATAAGTAGTATGTATCAGGAAGTGGAAGTAGAATTCTTACTGACAGAAGAGGAAAATGAAGAGAAGAGAAAGAACAGAAAACAACCGAAATAGAAATGGGAAAGGAAGAATGATATAGTTTGTCAAGGACAATTCAAGGAAGACGTGCAAATATTGTGTTTAATGGATCGTTTTCATATTTTACGAAGACACTGTAATCCCTTGCCCAAGTCTCCGTTCATTACAATACTAGGACTGTGGTGTATGCTACTTATTTCGACATAAGTAGTGTATCATATCAATCAGAAGTGGAATACCTGGCAGTGTTGGCTATAGCAGTTGCTGTCGACAGAGAGGAGCAATGGGACGTATGGATGCTGGGTAGACACTAGATTTTGATGATCCGGCCGGTCAACGGAACTACGAAGTTCAGCGCCACAGACTCGACATTTTGACGAAGAACGCGGCATAGACTGTAGTAAAGAAAGCGGTGCGGTGAGCAGAACAACCGCAACAACGACTGTTTAAAAACGACGTGTGGGGCAGGCAATGGGGTGAAGTTTAAATTCACTTGGTATTGTTTACTTGAATCTTCCCAAGCAATTGGCTATCAGGACTCAGTAGCTAAATGGATAACGCAATGGCGTTTGAAGCGAACGGTACTGAGTTCGAGTTCCGGAGTGAACATCAACCCTGAGATGTAGGTACATCCACCTGACGAGTCCCAAATAGGACGAAACGCGCGTCCTAGACTACACTACTAGGCACCATCCATCTGTGCGTACAATTATCTTCACTAAAAATATACAGTTATTATTTTGAAAGAAATCATCGGCATATGTTTCGTTTAATGTACTTCATTCAATGATTGTCTACTGTTAAAGTGACTAAAATGTTAAAACAATACAAGAGAAGATAGAGAACATTTGTAGTTCAAAACGAAAGGAGTTAGAGAGCATTGTGATCTCTGAGTTGATAGATGGTTTTGGTTGTGAAGGTTTTATTGTTCTACTCTTTGAAAGACATCATCAGTACGTACCTTAATTAAAAATGAGCTACTAGAATTTATTCACAATTGTGAAAAAATTCCCATAGCTTAACCAAATCAAAACAGCATAGAAACTACAACACCTTCAAATACAAGGGGTGTGACATGTGTAATCACTAAAACCAAGGCATTACCTGATCATAGTTACGTATCGAACGAAATACAGAATGATGAATTTAATTGATCTTATTTTTCAATATGGAGTTATGGAGATTGTCGAATTCCAATTGAAACCGTGAGCCTATCTAAGTTAGGCAGTTACGCACTGGAGATAATGGAAGATGGTCGCACTATCATGGATTGATCGAAGCTAAACATTAACACCGTTTGATGCCGGTTTAGTGGCCCAGTGGTTAAGCATTCACGTGCGAGACAGAAGATCCTGGGTTTGATTCCCGCTGGGGATTCTCATACTATGACGAAACGGTCACCCAGTGCTTACAGGTTTTAAATTGTGGTCTAACATGATTTTAATTGATCTTCAATTATTAACCGTTATACAGCAGATTTTCACATGATAAGAAATAAGCAAAAAGAAAACAACATATGTCAACCGATACTGACCTGTTGATGAATTAATTGTCTTGCATGGGGATTAGATTGACCAGAGTTCATGTGTTGTTGCTGTTGCTGTGTATTCAGTGGCGGTGGCTGTCCATTTGTTCTCTGTTGTTGCTGAGGCAATGGTAACTGAGGTTGTGGAGCATTATTTCCACGCTGTTGTTGTTGTTGAGATTGTTGCTGAGGATGTGTAGTATGTATTCCACTGCCACCAGTAGGATGTGCTGCAGTTTGTCTTCCTCCAGTAGCGTTTGGTTGTTGTCCAGCTTGTGTGACATTTTTATCTGCACCAGTTTGTTTATCATCAGAATCATCATCAGAGATAAATTCTCGTTTAGGATAAGGTATAGGTAAATTTCCAAAAACACTACAATATTTGATAAAAACAAATCAATAAAAAACTGAAATGATAATATAAAATGTATGGAATATAGCTAGCAGTCAAATCTAGGATGCGCGTTTCGTCTTACTAGGGACTCGTCAGATGGATGTACACGCGCCCGAGTTGGCGTTTACTTCAAGAACAGGATGCCTACATGCCAACTAAGACTCATCAAAGTATTAACAGCCAGACAATTCGAACCATTACGAATTCAACTAAAATTCCTACTCGTTCCACAAGTGAATGGCTATCGGGACCCAGTAGATAAGTGGATAACGCGATGGTGTTTTGAGCGAACGGTACTGGGTTCGAGTCCCAGAGTGGACACCAAATCTGAGACGTAGTTGCGTCCAGTTTACGAGTCCCAAATCGGACGAAACACGAGTTTAGGATTCCACTCCTAGCTAGATTCTATCTATTCTACATCAATTTGTTATAATGACCATATCGAGACAATCTACACGAGATGCCCATATCCCAACCAAGACTGAACGGATTTCAGTCAAAAATATCAACAACGGGATAATTTAAACCAATTCAAATTGGACTAAAATGATAATACACGAACTTGTTATGATAATTGCCTAGAAAAAAATATATGTGATGCAATTATAGAATAAGGTAGGATATTAACCAAAGGACGTGTTTACTGCGCAGCAGTTCGTTCTGTCCTACTTTATGGCAGTGAAACATGGCCGACAAGAGTAGAGGATATTCGTAGGTTACTAGTATTTGACCAAAGATGTCTTCGAAACATTGCTAGTATATCCTGGGACCACCAGATAAGTAACGCAGTTGTTAGGAAACGGGTACTAGTTAAGGATGGCAAATCGATTGATGAAGTAGTGAAACTTCATCAGTTGAGATGACTGGAACATATATTACGTATGCCCAACCACCGACTGCCCCGACGTGTGATGTTTCATTGTGTAGGAGTAGGTTGGAAGAAATTTAGGGGAAACCAGACCAAAACATGGCACAAGTCCATGAAGTTACTGACAAGTGAACTGAGCCATGTTGGTAGGTGTAGACTACCTGGTTGGGGACCGCGAGATGATAGCAACCGATGGTTAGAGACCCTGAATGACATGGCTCAAAATCGTTTACAATGGCGCAGGTGCATCCACTCTTTGTGTTCTCCCAAATTCTAATCTTCTGAATTCTTTATGTCCCTTTCTTTTTTCTCTTTCCAAATTTATTTCACTGGATTATACTCCTTGAATAACATCTTCAAGCCCTAGTGTTTCCGATTACTGCTTATACTTTTACTACCTCTACCAGTACGGGATTTGAAGCGACAACTGCAACTCTGTACTAGTATGGTATGGAAACTAGAACTGATGTACGTGCGTACGAAGTTCTATGTTGTTACTGATTGACTGAAAAATATATTGGAGGTTAGTGAATAGAAATCGGGAAAATGCATTTAAACCAACTGAACGAAAATCTCTCTAAATTAATATACAGGCAGAGCACCCCTAACAAATTAATATTAAATTTAAGCGTAGACCTCATTACAGGTTAACCTGTCGCGTACTTGAATCCTACGAGGAAAATCAGTTCCTTTGAGATTTCAGGTAGGCCTTACTGACGATTACTAATTAGAATAAAACCTAGAATAAACAGGATCTCCCCATAACTACCTTCAACCACTTAACAATTTAACTTCCTTTTGAAAAATCATAAATCTCTTATCTCAATAATTAACGTCTACACAGTTGAAATTACGAACTGATCTTAGTAAGACCATCATTGAAAATCTGGAAGTACTGGCGGGCCGTTTCGTCTTAAAATGGGACTTCTCAACAGGGTGTATCTATGACCTGGAAAAACCTTCCAGTGTCTCCAAGATTTCTCAGTTCGTGATTTCAACAGTGAAGATAGCACAATCTCCGCAACTTCGTACCAGTTAATATTTAGACAAAATTGACATGTTTTTAAAATATAGATAAATTGATTACTGAAGTATATTTTTAAAGTGTCATACGATTGGAGTGAATAGCTCGATGGTGAATAGAAAAAAAAAAATTTAAAGGAGCATAACTCTCTAGGAAGTTAACTAATTTATAAACCTGATAACAGACCCAGGTCAACCAATAAAACCTTAGTTACTATCCATAATTCGATCAGTATATCTATTTATTTTGATATTAACTAATCTATTTGAACAGAGTTCATTGTTCAAAAGTTGGTTTCTCATACGATAATAACCTGTACAACCATATACTTACAATTATTTATTTATTTATTATTTATTTGGACACATAAGTATTTGTACAAGAGGGCAGCAAATATATGTGCGCCACACCATATTTGTGTGTGTGTGGGCTGTGATACTGCCCGGGTGCCCAAACCGAAACAGGTGATTTTCTTAGGAAGCCACACCCGGAGCCTTCAATCTAAAGGTCTGATCTATAAGGCAGTGGAGCAATGTCAGGAGATACAGTCCCATGGTAGCAGGTGATCAATAAATGGTTCATACGCTATTTTTTATCCCAGGATCCTGGAGCCCATGTGTACAATTGATTGGAATCAAGGTTTTCCAACTCCCCTCGGTGGATTCTCCATATCCACTGACTTGGTTAAAGCGCTGGATATTCGCTTTTCGTCCCCTCAATTTCGTAAACAACACCCCCGCCGCGAGAAGGCAGTGAGTAGAACTTCCCTGAGAGTGGTTGTATGCATGTGGTCATGTGAGAGCATTTCGAGAGGGAGAGCTGACTCTTCCCACCATCGGCCGTACCAGAGCATTTGGGGACTCAAAGTATGTAAACTTTAACTGTAGAATAACAACTTACTGCAAAGAAAAAAAAACGCACTTACTCATTATTTGGTTTTTCACCTTCTTTGAAGTAAGAATCTTCCATAGCCTCAGCAGCAGATAAACGTTTAACGGGATCCATAGTTAACAAACGTCTGAGCTTAGAGAATGTAAATATGATCAAAAAATTATTACAGATTTGTATCAGAATGACGGTTGGTGGAGATCATAGTAATTTAATAGTTGAATCTATGATTCGATTTAGGCTAGACCACCACTGATGCCTGATCAGTAGTCTAAAGGTTAAGCGTTCGCGTGCGAGATCGAAGGTCCTAGGTTTGAGTCCCACGTGTGGGATCGTGGATACGCACTGCTCAGGAGTCCCACACTAGGATAAAACGGCCGTCCAGTGCTTCCAGGTTTTTAATGGTGGTTTAGCTTAGATTAACTCATGAATTTAACTATTAAATTATTAAAGATTCCTGATATCATGTCAAAATTAAGATGTATCATTATCTTTTTCATTTTTTTTCACAGTGAAAGTACAGCTATTCAGTAGATTTTATTGATACAGACAATGAACTTATTTGAGTTGGGGGTAATGTTTAGAAACCTATGGTAAACATCTTAGAAATGTTACCAATAGTGTCTAGAAAAATTATTTACGTTGATTTTTACTTACAAAATATTAATTTTCATGGTACAAGTATTTAATGTTCTGTAGTCAGAAGTAATCAGAAAGAATCTTTAGACTAAATCTACTATTCTGGGATTTGGACTGACAATTTCATCTTTCTGTGCTAACAGGGTATGGCAATTTGAACTGCAGTACATATGTACCAGGGTTTACGTTGTGACTGACTGAAATATTATGCTGGTTGATGCTCGTCTGTAAAGCCCATCTACAATATATATTAATATACATAAATAGTAAGGAACTAATCAGATCATATAGTAGGGTTTTCTGTACGCTAATTGCTTAAGCAATGGATAGCAATCTTATTTATCTAAAATCACGTCTTTGAGCGGCAAGTATAAGTCACTGAAAATCAGCACGACAACTTTTTCCATAAGTAGTTTCTATTTTACAGTTACTTGTTACTGAGGGAAATTTTGACGAAGAAAACTGTATCAGTCTTGACTGTGATTATTTTAACTGTATAGAATGAACCAACGAAACACCGTCTGCGGATCGTTATGTTTGGTAGAAAAAATACGTGGCTACAGATAAGTACCATGGTGAAGGAAGTTCACTGAACTAAATAGATGAATAGGTTGTGATAGAGCAATGTCAAACACCTACCTTAAATTCAGAACCGTAAGTAAATCGGTCTTACAATTCTGTTTGGTAAATGCTAGTATTCTGGTAGTGAATATGGGTCAAGTGTCAATTGTAGGATAAAGGACAATATGCACGTACAAAGTATAGAATGTATTTAATCCCCTAAAAGTAGTGGAAATGTCCAAATTTTTCTAAGGGGACTTAGCACATGCCTGAATAACCACTAATAGCAAGTGAACCAGAATGACGAGTGAATTGAAGCTATGTATGTCATAAAATACTATGAAATCATATGACATCATCTTATTGTGGTTAAACGAATGAAAAATGGGTTGAAGAAAGTTCTCAACATCCAATAACCGGATTCCCTTCCAGGTGATACGCCGTGAAATACACTTTTTTACTTCGAAAGAACAAGTAAATCTGCGATGGGAAGTTGCTTTCACACGTGTTTGCTAGATTCGAATGAAAAGAGATCAAGATAGCTGGATCACCAATCCAAATAATAATAATAATAATAATAATAATAATAATAATAATAATAATAATAATAATACACATCAAATAAGGCTAAAATCAATAAAATTGTGAAATAACTTACCAAAGCTAATTCTCTTTCATCCACTTTGAATTTTTTCTCTTCAAAATAACCTTCCAGTGAATATTTACCATAGGTTTTTTTACTTATGGAATCACGTAATAATTGATGATAGTCTGGCATTTTTTTCATATCAACCCAAGCATCATCTGAATTGATCAGAAATAAAAGTAACAAAGAAGCAGACACTCTGATTATACATTAAAGTGATTTCTATTGTAACAGCAGAAATAATAACAATGGATTGCTCTCTCTGGTAAATAAATAATTAATAGACACTATTCATCACAAAGTGGTTTTATTCGTGGTGTCATTGAAAACTAGGGAAAACGGAGTAACTTCCTTGTTCTATTATGAGACTACATAGCCGTGTACATCCTCGAGCACGACAGGGAGTGTTTTGAACAATAAGCTACAGCTTCACAAAACCAATGTTCAGTATACTCGGGCTTTAAGTTATTGTTCGACTGAAGTCAGTTCTTGGTGAAAAATTACATCTCAAAAATGTTCAAAAACACAGAATCGTCAAGTCAGAAGTTTTCATTTCAGAGGTCGTACTAGGCTGTGGCATATCACTTGATCATTAGTGTTTCACCAAATAATAACTTACATACCTGGTGGATATCCCATTACACGAAAAATACGTTCCAGCTGTTCTTTGTGATATGGTGTACTTGTTTTAATATCTTCTTGACGACAATGAAATATAGGTTCATATGTGAGTAATTCTGCAAAAATACATCCAATAGCCCATATATCAATAGCTTTCGTATAATGTCTAGCTCCAAGCAGCAATTCTGGTGCACGATACCAAAATGTTACAACAACTGGATCCAAATCAGCTAATGGCTTCAGTGGTTGATAAAATAGACGAGCGAAACCTAAATCACCTATTTTAACTCGACCTCGATCAGGACCTTCACCCATAACTAAGATGTTTGCAGGTTTCTAGAAAAAAATTAAAAAGACAATTATATCATTAAGCAAGTAACAAAAGTAGGAATGTTAAACAGACATCAAAGTGGCTCAAATGTGGGTTCGTCTAAGTTGCCATACCGAATCAGTACGAGGCGGAAACAACAAAACAAATCTAAATAATGTAGTAGAAATAATAGAAAAGAGAAATTAAACCTTGAGAATATGGTTCGCAAAGAGATTGGAAAAACAATTATGAAAGAGTACTGAAATTCAAGACTGAGAGGAAGATAAAGAGTGAATGTACTGACGATAATTAGAAAGGCTCTGAGCCATATAACCCGTGTCCAGCTACTGGTAGCAGTTATCATGCGGACTTCTCACACCAAGTAAGATGCATCCACCAATATAGCTCAGATCAACTGTCAATGAAATGATAAACCGTCAGAGTTATCCGCTTTCCTCGCTTTACTTAACTTTGCCATAGATAGTATTTTAGAGATAACGCTTCTGTTCCCAGACTTTTCAAGGACTGATCTCCTTAACAGAAGATTAACTTACCGACTTAAAATACATAAATTACAGCCCTACTTAGTGGAGACGCAGAAAAAAGTCCTTCGATCATCTTAAGCAAAAATTAAAGACTGTTTAAGATGCATTACACTTCCCCTAAATACAAAATTTTGTTTTGGTGGTGCTCTCTATTAGTGCTTGAACTGATGATAAGGAGGGTATTGGTAGAACTTATTTTTGAATTCTCACTAGCCATGATGGGTTCAGTTCTCCTGGGGAGTAGGCGAGATGTCCGTCAGTCAATTGAAGGACAAGTTCCGTTGTAATATGTAGCTGTGAAACGTGATCTTTAGGAACATATGATATTCATAGGTTACGTGTACTTGAAGAAAGATGGTTTCGAAGTATTACTCGCGTATGTTAGGGCCACGGAATGAACAATACTGAAGGAATAGTAGGTAAAGATAGCAAGTTATGAATCTTCATCGGGTGAGGTGGTTGAGATATGTACTACGTAAGTCCAGCGATCGCCTAGCTCGACGAACAATGTCCGTTGGTGTGGGAGTATATTGAAATAAAGCTTGAAGTGGCAAAACCAAAACGTAACATCAGTCTATTAAGTGAGTGAATGTTAGATGAAAATGCGTTAGCAAGTGCGGAATACGTGGTTAGTGTCCACATGACTGCCGTAACTAATGATTAGAGACGTCCTGTGATATGCCTCAGAATCAGTCGCAATGACCCAGGCGAATTCCACTGTCTTCTATCAGATCTTGAAGTGGTCTACGACAAACGTCTATCTGTGCCTACTAGTTCTTTTGAGAATCTGATTACCATACCACTTAAAAGTAATAATATTCAAAAATCTTTAATTTGAATAACTTTCTAACCAATAACTGATAGGTTTGCAGTGAACGATGACCAATTCATTGTTTTATGCAAAATTACACAGTGCCTTTGTGAAATATGAAAACCATACACTAAATACATTATTTGCACATCATTCTTCAGTTGTCCCTTACATACTTCCTCTAATTGTTGTTATTTCAATTTCTCTGTTTCCCCACCTATTCTCTTCCATTCAATTTTATGCTGACAGGTATCCTACTTCTGATTGCTACCATAAACTTCTTATATCTATCAGCGTGGGTAACGTAAACCACACCCAATCCCCCCTTTAAACGGTCGCTCTTGCAGTCGTTCTACTCTCTGTGCCGCTTTCCTCTTTATCGCAGTTTGTTCTTCGTTTCTCGTCGAAGTGTCGAGTCCGCCGGCGCGCTGGTTTCCCGGGCTATCTACCTCTAATATCAGCCCGACACCCAAGACGTTCCACGTCCTCTCGCCGTCGATGGAGAATGCTACACCCAACGCCGTCTCACTGGGCCATTCCACTTGATGTCTGCTTCCTGGGCCTGACGGCATCAACTAACGACTCCACTCACGGCCCGACAACGGTGTCCTCAGAACTACCCTCTCTCCCCCTTTCCGTAGGCAGTGACACCAAAAGTAATGAACGAAAACTCATTTGAGAAAACGAATTTATTGTTGAATGCAAAATTACACAGTACTTCTTAAAGTATGAAAATCATACATTAAATACATCATCTGCACATCTTGCTTGAGTTGTCCTTTACATGCCCCACGATTCTTCTAATCCTGTTGTTATTCTGATTGCCCATTGTTTAAATTTTCTCTTTATCTCAGTTTTCTGCAGGTAGGCATTCCGCTCCCAAATCCTTCTACATACTACTCATGTCTGTCTGCATAAGTAGCGCACACTACAGGTTGAAGATTTAATATCTAAACAAATGAAATCAGCAGCTCGACGAAGATATTCCACAAAATTTTATACAAAACATTATTTGGCAAATTATTAATTTGAATCTCATGTTACATCGTTCGGTCTTTCTAAGCGCAGTTGATTTTAATAAGTTAGCAGATACAGTCTCATGAGCAGCCATTACCAAGCCTCACCATGTCATTTCACATCACTAATTGATTAGCACTCTACTTAACATCCTGTTAATTAAATCATCCCTACAAAAAATGAAAACCACCACTAACAGCAGTAAATCCAACCCAACCACCACTTACGCTCACTCAAGTTCACAAGTCCAACGACCGAATAATCTCACTTCTTACAACCGGGTAATTTCACAACAGGTGAGCAATACAACAGAGACAATCACAGTAAAGCACCTGTGTTCTACATTTACGATTTACTACCAACGGCTATGTCTTATTGGTAGTGCAGTGTGAAATGACAAACCCTCTGATGATGGGGAGCCAAACTCTTTACGGTTCCACTAGAAAGAAAGTGCATTCACAAAATGTCTTTGGGCTGCCGAATATTTCTTTAGACTTTAAAAAAAAAGCAGACGAAATTATCATTAGAACGTACCAAATCACGATGTAAAATCCAATTGTCATGTAAATAATGGATTCCATTTAATATTTGATACATTAAACTTTTGACCATATTGCCATAGACTTGAACTGTACTTTTATTTGCTTTAGTTGTTCTATGAAATTTTATAATATGCCAAAGATCATGTTCTGCAAAGTCGAATAGCAACCATACTCGCCTAGTTGTATGATTAAGAAAAACTCGTTGTAGAGTAATTACATTTGGATGCTTTAACTCACGAAGAAGCTAAAAAATGATACATACAAAATATTTGTCATTGTATTATAATTGAACTTACAGCTATTTCTCGGCACGCAGACATAGATAAGCCAGTGCCTTCGATTTGTTTTAACGCATAATCTCTACTGTCTGTACCATCTTTAAGTTTAGCTTTATAAACACTTCCATATGTTCCACGACCAACTTTACATCCTTCAAAATCAAAAAGATCTTCTACTTTCTCACGAATTTCATTTAGTTTTCGTTTGAATTCCGCATCCACCATGTTATATTTTCAATCCAAATCCGATAAGCTACGAGAAAATATAAACAGTTTACAATTCCTAACTAGCAGTAAATGAATATACAAAACTGTGAGCAAAACTTGATTTATGAAGGGGAAATAATGCTTCCTGTTAATTAAAACTAACATAGTTATTGTGTTAGGGCACAACTACGGTAATTCAATTTGTGTCAATATCTTGAAACACTCGCTTCGGTGGCTTAGAAGTATACTACGAGTGTCACACCAGAGATTCCCACGTCGCGCATTATTTACCGGTGATGGGGCTAGGTGGAAAAAGCATAGAATTAGCCTGTTTATAACACAGCTCCAGGATGTGAGATAAAGCCATCTAAGACTGATAGCTATTGGTTTATCACAACTTACTGGTTGGGGTTCTGAACATTGTCCAACATGGCTCAAAATAAAGTCAATGATAATCCCGTTGTAGTCCTTCTTTATATTCGTTACAGAAAGGGTAGTTCTATTAACCGAAGTTTTTTGGTTATACTTTGAACTGCACTTCATTTTCCCCTCTATCTACAATAGTATCTTTTTAATTATATGGTGAACGCCATAGTTTGGTCTCAAATTGTACTATAACTTGATGAATAAGCAAATAAAACAGAAGACACTTAGCAAATTGCCTAAAATATTTAATCCTAGTAATTACCTCTAGAAAAACTCGTTCAGACTGCCGATGAGTTTTCTTTTATTCTTTTTTTAATCCTAAAAAACCCAGATAGGAAGGCGTAAGACTGATCATGGAAATTAAGTCATCTGGGGTATCTAAAAACATAGAAAGTAATTTAGGGTGTCAGGATCAAATGAAAAGCGATAAATAAATCTATCGAAAAATAATGGATGTGGATTGGGAAAACCAGACTGTAGGATGTACAAGAATATATATACGTAGTTGACAAATAAACACAATCAAATGTAGGTGGCATTCAAACCAAAGTGGTTTGAAAATGAAATACCATTTATTTCTGTTTTAGCAATCAAGGTGGTTTGTTTCTTCCCATGTAAAATATTCAGCTCATATTCCATTATTGATGATGAATTATTAAAATTTAGATCCAACATCGATCTCACAGATTTTTTCATCAAGCCATTTATGTGCCCAGTAGTAAGTCTTGAGCATTATCGATCTATTGTACGCGCAAATAACAGTAAACCACATATTTCAAAAAGTAGTAAAAAAACACCACCACAACCGCTGATTGTCACTTCATTTCGGAATCCTATAGGATTCATCAGTATACTGATGAAAGTTACGATCCTCAATGATAATGTGGATGTGTTTCAGTTGTCCGTTCTTTGATGTTTTTGTGTGTGACGGAAACTTTTTGTACATAGATTCACATCCATATTTAGATCTGGTGCAATGAGAAGTAGCCGCAAAAAGCTAGCATGGAGTAGCACTTTGTTAGATACAGTGGACATTTTTAATCGCCACATATATCCAATAAACCCATCATAAACTGCTTACTTCTGTTTCTTTTCGAGAATTCAATCAACGATAGTCGTACGTGTCGAGTATTAACACTGACCTTGTATCCTTATTACTACAACGCAGATGTGATTATTACCGTTATTACTCCTGAAGACCGTGACTCAAACCTTACATACTATTCAATCGTCTGATTCATATCGAAAAATTTGGAAAGTTGGTGAATGTCAGGAGTATTTCGGCAAAAGTAGGTTGAAATGTGATTTTCAAGACATTTTCTGGGGGTAATTTTTAGTAACTAGAAGTGGAAAGAAATAACTTGAAGCACTAGATTAAATGATTGTCCATAAACAAGCCAAAACACAGTAGCGCATAATTCATACTTAATATCCAATCAAGAGCCTGTCCAATACGTTTTTGATGACCTAGTATTCATTTTTTACTTTAACTTCTAGGCATTATTGTAAGTCTTCAAGTTTTTAGTATTTCACAGTGTTGTTATTTTATCCACTTGGTCGTGCCAGTCTCTGTAAAATTGACAATTAATTGGGAATAATTATTTCCTGGTTATAAATAAATGCATTCATTCTACAGAGTTTGAATAGCTAGATTCAGCAATTATCACAGTTTTTGGGGGGATTGGTTGATTGCACTATAATAATCTATAAAATAGGAATGTAGAGGAGAGACGTTGACTATCAGAATGCAAGCATTATGAACAGACAAAAGTAGTAATAGATAAGGTGACAAAGGATAAGATAAACAGAGATGGGCTTATATCGACGGTGATGATGGTAATAAGAACAGCATTAACACTGGTTTTAAAGTACGAGGGTTACATCAATTCCAACTACTCCAACTCGAGGTCGCTAAGCAGTGGGTGAATATGTTCTTACTGAGACTGCTCTAAAGGGTGTCATCGATGGATGAGCACATCAGCTACAGCGTTGGACCCTCACTATCACCTTAAGTCTCTTCGACTTTGTGCGGCCACGTCTAGTCTATTCGCCTGTAACAACCATTTTTAACAGACCGTATTGATTGTTCTTCGTATACTCACGCTGTTGAGTTACGGTTCGAAAACAGATAGACTTTACCAAGCCAGATATTTTACTTGTTATGACGTTCGCTAAGCCTAGATACTGTGTTCGAAAGTCTAGGAATTAGTTTAGAGTCGCGTCTGCGGGAAACCGCCTCCTAACGAGTTTAAAATTAGAATTGACTAGGATACTTGTAAGATATGTAGTGACCTACTTTTATCAAGAGAACGCGATTGGTTTAATGGAAACAATTATTATTACCACCAGTTGTACCAGTGATTGTTTTACTGTACTTGTTTGTTTGACTGCAATAAAGGCATTCTTCTTTCCGTTGATTGTGACCTTGCACGCGCTTACGTTTTCTCAGTGATTCCGCTTGTACTCTTTTGGCACAATTTTGGTATCCCTTCGATACCACGAGATCGCTAACAAATATATGTCGCTACAACCTCCAATAGCCTTCTGATATCTGGTACGCAACGTTTTTATAGTGGTGACCATGGTCAACCGCGATTCGAAGCCACACTACAGACAGTTGAGGAAAAAATCGAGTTTGGGAAGTTCTAGTCTGGATCAGCCACTAGTGAAAAACGTGTGCTTCTCAGTGGTCAAGTGGTTTGTGTAGGACTGTAGAGTTGTGGTCTACTATGATATTAGTACTGCTTTTATAAGAGACCTAATCCTAAAATTGCAGATTTGTCATGATGTATCTGCCTAGTCTATAGTATCTTACGTGGAAGTCACACCTTTGTCTACACTGACTCATCGTATCGTAACAAATACCAATGTACGATGGAGAACACATTCAGGTTGGAGATAGAGCTAAGTCCTTGATGTAACTGCGAGTTGTACGGGGTGATCATGCGTGCGAGGTTGAGGCATGACGATCAATTCGAATTCCTTCAATTCATTGTCCACGGCTTCCCTATCGTTGGGTTTTTCCGCCTTAAATGTTGAATATTTATTTTCCCAGTTATTTCGTGTTCAGCTTTGATGATTGTGTGGTTAGAGCCCAAAGCCACTACAGGACGTCCCTGTTGGGACAAATAGGTAAATTCAGAATGTTATGCACCACTGTTAGGTCGTTTCAAAGTCTCCCATAAATTGAGCACAGAAATCCACGTAAGCAAGGCCGTCCGTTATGTGTTTTGTCCCTCAGTTCTATGACCCACGTTTTATCACGCGTTAGTACTTTTTTCAAGAACTTTATATCCGTTTTTTGGGAAGCTTTGCATCAACTATGAGTGTTGTCAGTAATGGAAGTCTCAGTAAGTTTCTCTTTAAAGCTAGAGGCAACAACTCGCTTTAGTTTAGCCACGCTCGAATAAATTTGGTGTGAAATTCTTGGTTCTGTAGGTAGTCTTGGCTAAGTGATAAATGATCCTGTAAATTCCACTTGCCAGAAGTTAGTCAGAAGTACAGAGTGCTGCAACGTATCTAATGACCTGAGAAAGTCCAGAAATAGTGCATGAATATGCATTCTTCTAATCCTAGTCCATGGTAGACAGCCTCTACTGCAGGACATTCATTTCCTGAAACTATCCCAGCCAATAGCTTGTGAACACCCAACAAACCTTCCGATATATTTGAATGTTAGAAGCTCTGCAGCTAGAATCCTTTTGTCTCTCTATTCAAGGAACACAGGGAAAATGGCTATTTTCCTCTGTCTTTAAAAGCTGTAAAATTTTGAGTGTATTGAAAACGGTCACTTAGTAAATGGTGGACGACTTGTGTAGATTCGGAGGTACGAGCCAAGAAGGTTCTGCTACAAATTCTTAAAAATGCATTAGGTTTCCCCTCGAAAAAATTTGTGGGAAACACTCTATTTGTAATATGAAGTTTTAGGATGATATAAGTTCACTTATCCATGCAGCTAGAATAATCGACCACATCTAAAGCTATGGACGTCCCATTTTATGACCGTCTAGTCATTAAGAACCTAGGTTGGTTTCACACCGTTATCCATACTGACTCGCTCCATCATGTTGGTCAGCAATGTTTGTGATAACCTTCGAAGAGCACATTTGGGCTGGGCATACAATCAAATATTTTGTACAAAGACCAAGAGGTTACGTTTGGTAACCATGCTCACTCGTCACGTCATGGCATCATGAACAAGTGTTCTCACGTTCACCGTTTTCCATTCATTTTCAAGTGTTCGTTATTTGATGTGAGCTCGCGTATTTGTTGCATGCTCAGCTCCAAGGATCTTGTGGTTGGGAAAAAATCCCATCACAGGATCCTTTGAATCATTAGAGAATACCAACGTGAATCAATGAAATAGCGCAACGGCGAGTTGAGTAAAAATCAATTCAGAAAACTGTAGTGAATCTGAGAAACCAAATATCAATGTTGGTTTCATCACTACGTCTATACTGATGAATCTACCTATGATACTAGACTAATAAACCGAACATAATACTGTTAACTCGCCGTGACAGGACTGCCTAAACACTTAGTCTTGATAATGTTCTAGCGCTGACCCTTTTTGGCCTCCATCTCTATTAACGCACCATTTAAAATCCAGTGAAAATCTCCCGTGTTCATTCTGCTGTAGTGATCATGTGATTCAGAGCCAGTGTGACCACTGTCACCGCAGGCAAATAGGCTTAGGTCGTATGAAACCGAAAACATTTTCACCATTTCTAATAAACGATTTTTCTAATGAAGAAATATTTAACTTTTATCGTGCATCAGATGGACTACTTCACATTTAGAAGAGTTGAAAGTCACTTCGTCACTGTACAAACAACCTAGAAATCACGTCGAATTCTCCTAAAGTGCTGCTAAGATATATGGTTATGCTGAGAATGTTAGTAACAGAATTATATTTTCATTAGGACTCCGTAAGATGACAAAGCATATACCTTAAATTAGTTTCTCCCCAGACCTCCCTTTTCATCGACTCCTGAACAATCAAAAACGATCTTCACCAACATAAGACTTGATTGAGAAAGGGTCTTATATCACTTTTCCAAAAATGAATGGCTACCAAAAATGTTCTCGTAACAAAGAATCGGCACTATTTAGCTAATGTGAGGAAAATTCACCGGCAAACTCAACAATACAGAATGATAAAGAGGATTTGATCGCAATATACCACAACACTGCTGATTCAACTCATTCTGTCGAATAATCAGTAAAGCTTAGCATCCATGTTTAGCTGAATATGCATTAGTTCCGTGTAGATCAAGAAAGAGTCTAGGCAAATCTTGTCTATTTTATGGTACTGAGAATCCTAAAAATTAGGGAATAACTGGAGAATGGAAGGTGATGGCATCTACTAACTTCTTCTAAAGAAATCTTGACAACCAAACATGTGGTAACCTTTGCCTTAACTTCAAATGGCTTTCAACAACCTGGATACGAATAGTTAGGAATAGATGGGTCTTCGCCACAACACATGTTTGAAATTTCAGTCAGTAGATGAATTTTACACCTATTAGGGATAACGTAGAGATAAGTGACACAGAAACTGTTTAAAGAGACGAAAACAAGCTGTGTTTAATATTAATTTTTAGTGTTATCCATACAGAATATCACCAGCTTAAACGTAATAGTCTTCCCTATAGTTTACACGGTTGGACTGACGAGAGGTTGTTAAATAGGATGTCGAGTTTGCACTTCAAACGACTGGTGTAGGTAATCATGAGTTATAGGATTTGACACTTTAATTTGCTTAACTGTAACGTAAGCGATTGACATCAAAATAAGTTCTGATGTAAACCAAATGTATTTATTCAACAAGAAAATGGATTTAGCGAAACGATTTTAGTTATTCCTATACCGTTCTTGATATCAAGAAGGCGAACGTGTAAGGCGGAATCCATTACAGTGAAAAGCCACAAACATTTAAATACAAAACATTAGTATTTTGTTAAATGTTCTTTTTATTCTGTAGACTAACTGTTAAACAGCAGACGATACTGAACTAAGCTAACACAAACACGACTAGGTAGGGTGAATAAGTGAACGTCATTACATGAATGCTTAGTGTTTTCACACAAACCAATAGCATCTATGCATGTGGCCCATTTACATAACACTTTCTCAGATCTTAAGTGAGGATAGATGGATACTAATCATGAAAGTGTACTTCACTCATTCGATATTTTTATCTTACGAATAAACCTCGAGCAGTAGTTAGTTTCATCTGCCACAAATAGGTCACCAGCTCATTGTGAGATGCAGAAATCGATGATCAGCTAATTATATACAGTTCATGTTCAACATGTAGTGCTTAGTCTCATTTTCCCATATTAACGTAATCAGTAACAATTAACGAAAAGATCAACCTCGTTTTCGAAAGCTCTGGTGAAAGCATATTAAAGAGCTGTTC